GAGACAATCTAGTTAAATAATCTTTGCTGGACTACTGGTTGTTCTAAAACATCTGCAAATGCAATCTATCCTGCATTATGGTGTGCTCTTGACTATTAGCATTAAATATAAGAGAAAAAAGGCAAAATATTTAAATAATACAGTGTTATCTTCTTGAAGGTGTTAATAAAGTAATTCCTGACAGCTGCTTTGCTGTCAGGAGGGGAGGGAGGCAAAACTCGGGAAATGCATGGGCTGCAACACAGCTGCCTCCTCAGTTTAACCTGTGGAAGAGCCCCTGGGCAGTCTTGCAGTTGAAACAAATGAAACCTTTTTGTTACAAAACCAGGAGTAAAGTTAGAATTCAAGGTGCTATAACTGTACCAAGGAGTCCAAAACGTTTTCCGTTGTATGCAAAGGCTTTTCAAAAACCAAAGCTGGAGCCCTGAAAGGCAAACCTGGGCAGTTACATTGTATGCTCAGAGACATTTTATCTATTTCCTCAATTTAAGTTATAAACACATTTCTAATGAACACATCAATCCCAATCTGGTTCCAGCTGCATAACAAATAGATACATATTTCAAAGTAACATCAGGAGAAGGGATGGAAAATTTCAACTGGAGCAGCACCATTTAAACAACGAGGCCCTGTAAGGAGCAAATGAACGGGCTTTGCTAAAGCATGGGCTCAAACTGCAGGCAGAGAGGTTGGTTGTGGGGAACACCTTCATTCAAAGGGTGATGAAGTGCTGGGGTGGCTGCTTGAGCCCATCACCACCTTTACTGAAGGCTGGCAGCAATGGGTGAGGCAGGACAGGGACCTGGTGTCCCCAGCCACCATCACCTCCTCTCCTGGCCCTCTGCATTTGCCTCACTCTGAACATGCACTTTGCTTTGCTGACATCTTGTGGAGATCTAGATTGAGCTTAATTTACTGCAGACTATCCCGTTTCCAAGAAGTGGGTTTATCTGCAGGGTGTCTCTTACATAAGGGCTGTGGCTCAGGGCTGGGGGAAGCTGCTCCTGCGTGTGCAGCTCTGACCAAGCACTGCTTTTCTGCTGAAATATGCAAAGAGATTTTCGAGGTCAGCTCTATTTTGTGATAAGTGCAGAGCCTTTGAGTCCCAGCTGTTTTCCAGAGTTGCTGCTGACAAATGATCTCAGATCAGGATGTGATTCCAGAGCTGATGTCTTTGCATAGAACATCTGTCAGCCAGGCTGCCAGGGCTCTGCCACCTCCCCCAGCTACAACTCTGTGACATTTACAATCAAACCAACAGGAAACACATCTCTCTTGGGGTCTGCCAGTGGGAACTGGGGTTGGAACCCACCCCTCATGTCAGTGTGTGCCCTCCACCAATACAGCCTTGAGCCTGCTGGGGGGCTTGGCTCAAGGGCCCGTCCTCCCTCCCCACAACCCACGGTCCCAGTTAAACAGGACACTTGGATCTGTGTCTTTCTGCTCTGAAAGTGTTGGTGGAATCAGCTCTGCCCTCCCCCTTCCCTTATCCCCTGCCTGTGGACAAGGACCAGCTGGAAGGAAGAGCCAGGACCCTGTGGCTGTGCTGTGGGATTTGGGGTGCCCACCGATGTCACCGGGAGCCACCTGAGACCAGGCGAGTTCTCACCCAGCTCAGCTGGCTGCAGCTTGTTCTCTGCACCCAAAATGAGCTGAAATAAAACTCTACCAGAGTGCTCTACTACTTAGCACAGTGTTGAATTAATGATTCTGAGCTTGTACACATCCCCCAAAATCCTTTTTTTCCCCCCCACCTTGCATGCAGCACCCTGAACTCAGAATTACTCCTTCTACACAGTTCCTTCTGGTCGATACTTAAGTAGCCACCCAGGCTGATTTACCTTGATAGCACAGTCCATTTTCTACACATTTATTCATGAAGCTCTTGTAACTGCTGGCTGGAAATACATCAAATTCAAATTTAATGCTATCCCTGTTTAAAAAAAAAAAAAAAAAAAAAGCCAACAAAAAACCCGAACCCACAAAAAAAATCTCTCTCTTCCCAAAGGTGGGAATTTTATTCTGGTCTGAACAGCAAGGAAAGACCTAAATGCCTAAAGGAAAGGGAATTAGACTGAGCTCCTGCTCTGAGCCTGGGCTCTGGGGTGCCACAGAGAGCATCAGTCCCCATCCTGCAGGACAGTATTGTGGAAATTGGGCACCAGCCCAGCCACAAAAAAGGGAATAAGTGAGCACTCTGCAGTAAATACAAACCCAGACTTCTCAACTGCTAAATGGAGCTGCTTCCTTCTCTTTGTGTGGGTCTTCTCTGCCCACACAGTGTCAGTGAGACGGCTGAAGGCTCCAAACAGGAGGGTTCACTCTGCCACCTCCCACTACCCATCATCTGCAGATCATTTCTGGAAGTGTCTCGTCTAGGCTTCAAAATTCATGATGCTTTATTTGTGTTAAGCTTTGCTTAGCTCTTGGCTCTCAGCAGAGGATTCACCCATACCAGAAAGTTTGCTAAGACCTTGATAAGACCTCAAACATCACTTCAGCCCATAGCCAAGTCTTTGTGAAAATCCCGCTAAAAAAATCTCTGCTGCTCTCCACACTGTTTTCCCTTCTGTCCCCATCTCCTTGAACTAAACAAAAAAATCTTCAAAATCTTTTTTGGATGTAGTGCACTGCTCTCAGGCTGGGGAGCACCATTTTGATTTCAGGCTTATTTGGGAAAGTTTGCTCTTGGACCCATGTGCCGTGGATAAGCCCTCCCAGCACAGGAGGTTTTCTTCTCCTCTGGCTGCTGGGCAAAGTGTGTGTTTTGCTGCCACATCCTTCATCCACAAATGCAAAAGAGTCCAAGGGCTGCCCAGGGGGTTCTCTTTCCTCATAATCTCTCTCACACATATGCATGGATTATCAGCCTCACAGGAGCTGAGGACGTAAAGACCAAAAACATCCTCCAGAAATAAATGTGCTGGAGGAAATTGCTGCCTCCAGGAGCTAGGGATTTGTGTATGTGACTCTATTCAGAAACAACACCACCATTACCCAAAGAAGAGTAAACAGGCAAAAGAACAACTGGTGATCCAGGAGAGCCATAATGTTACAACTCACAGAGGGCTGGATGCTGCAGCCATCCAGGTGGAATTCTTGCCAAAGTACATGGTTTACATGGGATTATATCCATTGCACAAGCACATCTGCCCTTAATCCACAAGCAAACCTGCAGGTGAAGGTTGGAATCCCTGTTCCCTGTTTACATGGGATTATATCCATTGGACAAGCACATCTACATGGTATTCTGCCCTTAATCCACAAGCAAACCTGCAGGTGAAGGTTGGAATCCCTGTTCCCTCTGTGCAATATTGCTGCTGATGCTTTGTGAAGGCTGTCCTAGAACAGAGGCTGAACAGAGCTAAAGAATAAAGCAGGGATTTATGAAAAGGATCTCCTCCATGGATCCACCTTAGGCAGCACAAGAGCCCAGCCAGGGCTGCCCCCAAGATGAACCCAAATGGTCCCAAAATGCACGATGGTCACGGGGTCTGTCACTGGGATCAGTTCTGCTCCATTTGCGTATTAGACTTAATTGTCCAATTATAGCTTTAGATTATGAAGTCCCATCCTTGTTTTTCTCTCTCCAGCCCACGTTGTTTGTGCTGTTGGGCCTGAGATTTGGATCATCTGTCCTTGGTCCCCAGCCAGAGCAGGAATTGTTTTGTCTCCCTGCTCTGTGCAGAGCTCACCATCCCCTAATATGAAGCTCAGACCCACCCACTAAAGCAGCACAGAACCTGAAAAATATAAAAGCTAAAACCTGAGGCATCACTGCTGTCCTTCAGCATCCTCTGCAACACACCTGCCCTCAGACACACATGTGTTGTCTTGCCAGCCACATAGTCCTTTTCTGTGAGCTTGTCTCATACCCACCTCTCCAGGTTCTGCTGAGGAAGGTGCACATCAGCACCTTTTCATGCCTCTCTGCTCCATGGAAGAGAAGCAGCATTGGTGAGGCCAAACTTGGGGCAGTTACTGAAAGTCTCAGCATGGGAATAAACTGGAGGACAGTCAGGATTTGGCAGGGAGTTTTCAGAAGCTCTCGTCTAGAATTTTTAAATGCCCTTCTAAAAAGGGCAAAACCCAAAACTTGAAACAATGCTGGTACCTGCAGGCAATTTATAATGAGCTGCAGATGAAGCAGTGTGTTTCTATCTTCTTAATCTTCCCCTGCAAACTTAGATGGCAGAGTTTTCCAAGGGGGAGGAGGAAGAAAACTGTCCTTGTGACCTCCAGAAAGAGAGGCCTGACCCCACTCTGCTGCAGCTTCCTGAGTGATACAATTTCTATTGCTAGAAGGATTGCACAAAGAAAGTAAGAGGAAAGGAAAGGCCCAGTCTCTGCCTTTTTTTCAATTTGTCATTTTTTATAATGACAGCATTAAAAAGGAGATCACATCCTCCAAAATTCAGACAATCTGTCAAGAAAAGCTGTCCTCCATGGCAGGAACAGAGGATAGAAAGAAGGAAGAATGCTTTTATCCTGAAGAGCCTTCCTCTTCCTCTCCCCTGCTTTCCTCAGCTCCTGGGAAGACGATTCCCACCTGCTGTCTACGTGACAAGGACTGGTCTGCACACAGCAGAGAGTGACAACAAACAGACACCTCAAATCACAATCTGCAGCACAAACAAAACCAAAACCTTATGACTGACCCAGCCAGTCCCATTCCTTAAACCAAAAAAGGCTTCCCAAGGTTTCACAAAGGGAAGCATCTCTGCACTGCAACAGGAATGCACATAACTCAAAATTCCATACAGCATATTTCCTGCCTAGGTATATCCCATATCAACTTCCACACAGAAAGCAGCTCAAATCAGTTTTATATTTGCTCTCCTGTCCCATTTATGTGTTTAAAGATCACAATATTCTGAGGAAGAATGGAAGTGTCATTATTTTTGAGACTCAATAACACATGTTACACATCACAGAAACTTGTTCTTCCCCAACAGACAGGAATGTGAGTCTGGATTTGATTAACATAAAAAGACCCTTACCAGAAAGTGAGTAATCTGTATTAGTCATCCTCATGGCTGGAGTGTAAGATACACTTGGCATGTCATGGCCCTTCTCCTTCTGTTTCCGTCGATACCACACAAAGAGTGCCAGCAAGACCATAATAATTAGAAGGAGAATAATAATTCCAATGATTGCTCCCACTGAGTGCCTCTCTGATCCAAGAGCAGGGCTAATTTTAGTATAGGGGTTTAATTCTTCCATCATAAGAGCCGCTGTTAAAAGTAATTCATAACACACTGTAAATTGAATCGTGCATTTCATTTTTGAAACACTATTTTTTTTAAGCACTTCATTGGAGGTGGGGAGAGAGAGAGAGGAGAGAGGGATTTTATAGAGAGAATTCCACTGTACCTTGGTCACATCGGATTCCTTTGAAGCCTGGACTGCAGTAGCAAGTGCCTGTGACGTGGTCACACGTTGCATTGTTCATGCACTCACACAACTGTTTGCAACCATAACCAAATGTTCCTGGAGAGCATTCTGGGGAGCCAAAGAAAAACATTGGAAAGAATTCTTCTGTTTTTGGGAATGGGCACAACACTTGCCATGGAGGATTCCGTAGAGAAGTCTCCCTGGGTTTAGGATCTCAAGGATAACACCCTAATTATTATTTATAAGAAATTAATATTATTATAGTGAAATTATTATTAGACTAAAGCAGGAGCTAAATGCATTCTAAGTGCAGTTTGTTACTTATTAAGCTGTAATTTTCTGGAAGATTCATGCAATGAAATCAATGATAGGTACAAAGGCTTTAGAAGACTTCATGTATATTACAAATGTTCAGAGTTTAACAGAGCTTGAGCTCAGAAGCTGTAGACAACAGAGCTCAGCATTCTTCACCAACTTACCTGTTTTATTTTTTGTGGGGTAGTTGCAAAGAAAAGTTTTAATGAACCTTTATATGAACCCAAGAGCCTTTACCAAACAAACCCCACATGCTTTCCTACTCATCCTTACCAGTGCCACGTGAAGAGAACTTTGCTGGTGGAATTTCAGAACTGAGCATCTGAATGGTTTGATTTGCTCTGCTTTGGTGTCAGGGTTTCTAACACAGAAGGAATTTCTATCCTGTCTTTGTGTTTCTATCAAAGACTGAATGTCCAGCTGAGAAATTTATTCATACAATTACCATGATGGGCTATTACTATAAATCTGTAGGCAGCTTACTGTACTTCTGGAAGCATTATTCAAGAATAAATTGAAAGAAACAATGTCTGTCACATCTCACTTACTTCCATGGAGAAGCTGCATTACTGAAAACATGCACCCTTGCTATGATCCTGTGGAATATATTGTTCAAGATGTGACTCCTTGTGTGTCACTGCAAATGTTTTTCATTGCATGACAACACCTCCCCAATGTCAGTCTCAAAGTAGCTTCTGGCAGACAAAATTTAATATTAAGTACAGAACCATAGCCAGTATCTCTTTATTGATTTGCAGTGTGTATTAAAGTTGTATCTTTAATCTGTTGGTACTCAAACAAACAAAAAAATAAAATTATTACAATTAATGCTCATTCTTTTATTAGCCTGCAGCCTACTTAAAATGAATAAGGCCTAAATTTTGGGACTGCACCACAGAAATGATGCTGCAATTAAGCATTTCATCTGCAATGCAGTGTGGCTGCCCATTCAGCAGGATTTGGAGAAGGAATGAGCCTTAATGAAGAGATTCTTTTAGATTAAACAGTAGAAAAACAAGTAAATAAATACATTTGTAGTTTGGATAGAAAAGAAAGCCTCAGGCTTTATACAGGGGTCAAATCATAAAGCAGCTCCTTGTATAAAATCTGCTATTGTGCAGTTCTTTGTGGGATTCTTTAGTTTCCTATTTTGATTGTGGCTGCAGTGAAGAGCATCCCCAAATTCCAGGAAGCTGGCCACTTACAGAGTTACAGTGGTGCCATGTGCAATCCCCCAAGAGCACACAAGTTTGGCCCTGAGATGCTCACTTTGCTGAATGCAAGTGTGTGCAAAAACATATTTATGAATTAAGTTACGTGCACAAATACTTCCATAAAGATCCACAGAGGAAGCTACAGTTAAAGAGCCTTCCCTTGCATTTCTGGCAGGAATGTTACTGAATTACCTTACTGCCAAAAAAAGTGAATGAACCCTGTGGAATTAATGCCTTGGGAAGATGAGGTGGATTTCACCTGTGTTTAGAATCCCAGTAAATGGGTGAGAATTTCCTTGTGAATTACTGCACTGGACAAACAAGTAATTATCCAATTATAGCACATCCAGTTTCCAGGACCCTCATTCAGGGTTCATTGACCATCATTGAGGTTCACTGGGAAACACTCACTGCTCTAGCTAAACACAGACCCTTCCCAAAATGGTAAGCAACCTTGTTTCCCTCGACCTGCTTTCATTATAAAGATGAATCTTTATTTGGTCCATGTTTACACCATAACTTCTGTGGGAAAGCCCCATATTCCCAATATTCTTTGGAAGGCAGAGAGCAGAAAGGACTTGTTCCTTTTAACACTTCTGTTTTATGCACTGGGGAACCCGGGGCTGCTGCTCTCAGCAGCACGAACAAGGCCTCAGGCAGCTCTAGGGCTGGGTGTGTATCAATCAGGTACAAGATGTTTGGGAAGGCCCCATCCAGTCAGCACTGAGTGCAGTGATTTGCTTTCTCTCACCTAACTTTAGCCTGGGAATGAAAGGCCCAATTTGCAGGGATTCACTGAATTTCTTTATGCTTAGAAACTGCCCAGTTTTCCAGAGGTGCCCTCTCCTCCCTATGGATTATATAAGGTGCCTGAGGTCATTGTCCTGCTGACATCAACACCTCATTTAAGAGCCAGTTTGTGCAAGAATTCTGAAGCATACCCCCCTCTCTGGAGCAAGGGGGCACTGAGGCCGCTGGTACTTACTCTGCTCACACTGCTTGCCTGTGAACCCCGTCCTGCACGTGCACTGCCCGGTGATGTGGTCACAGTCGGCTCCGTTCTGGCACTGGCACACATTGGCACAGTTCTTCCCATAAAAAGCAGCTGGGCAACCTTTCAGCAAGCAGAGCAAGGAAAGAGTAAGAAATAAGCTGAAAGTCAAACTCAGACGTGTTATTAGCACAAAGAATGTGGGTGTATAAATCTATGGATTTTCAGCCTCTGTATATTTAATGACATTTATTTGATGGTCTAAATGCAGAGATACTGTGACAGACAATTTTCTTGAAGTAATGTTTCTCATCTTTACAGAATTGCCTCTAAAGTGTTTCAGAAGAATGAAAACTTGACCCATCCATACAAACTACATTTTCAAGAAGTGAAAGAAGATGCTAAACAGAAACTCTCTGGAAGACCAGGGATCAATCAATTATTTGCAAGTGAAAGAACCTTCTTAAAAGGCTCACCAGAATTGGATCTCCTCTTTCATACCGGTAATTTGGCAGTAGGGTGAGAAATCTCTACCATTTTCCTAAATCAGACCATAAATACTGGGACATTAACAAGCAGGGACACTGACTGTGCAAATTCTAACAATGAATCAATAATCTAAATTATTTTCCCCTCCTTTACCGAGCGCCAAAGGCATAAAAAACCTTGGAAAGCTTCAGGACTATTTTCTTAGGGGTGATGTGAGGTTATCAGGAGTAGGGAGCATGTGGTTTTCCAGGGAAAACTGCAATACTTGGAAGAGACACGAGGTAGCAGCACATACTTTGACAGATTCCCTGTCTCTGAAAGGCTTACGCTGAGTGCAGTAGAGCCCCGTCCAGCCATGGGTACATCTACATTCTCCATCGTGGGGGCTGCACAGTGCTCCGTTGTGGCAGTTGCATGAATGAAAGCAATCAGGGCCCCAAAACCCAGCGGGACAAGCTATGAAAATAGACAAAAAAGAAAGCAAGGATACTGTGTTAATGCTGTGGAGGAGCAACAATAAAGGGGGAGACCCGTGAGACATCAGCAAAGGCAAAACCTCGGACTACTGAACTTGGCAGTGCTCCCTGGACAGTGACAACCCTGGACAGTGAGCAGTTCTCCCTGGACAGTGGCTGGTCCTTCCAAGCCACCAATTGCTCTCCAAACCCTGGTGCCACCCTGTAACCTCTCCCTGGCACAGGGATTTCTTGCAGCACGTCAGTGGAGGAGATTTTGCCCCTCTGCCCTGTTCAGGTGAGACCCCACCTGCAGAGCTTCCTCCCGCCCTGGGGAACAACAGCAGAAGGATTTGGAGCTGCTGGAGCAAGTCCAGAGGAGGCCACAGAGATGCTGCAAAGGCTGGAGCCCCTCTGCTCTGGAGCCAGGCTGGGAGAGATGGGAATGTTCAGTTTGGAGAAGAGAAGGCTCCAAGGAGAGCTCAGAGCCCCTTCCAGGGCTTAAAGGGGCTCCAGGAGAGCTGGAGAGGACCTGGGACAAGGGATGGAGGGACAGGGCAGAGGGGGGCAGGGGGAGATGGGATATTGGGGAGGAATTGTTCCCTGGGAGGGTGGTGAGGCCCTGGCACAGGGTGCCCAGAGCAGCTGTGGCTGCCCCATCCCTAAAGTGTCCAAGGCCAGGTTGGACACTGGGGCTTGGAGCAACCTGGGATAGGGGAAGGTGTCCCTGCCATGGCAGGGGTGCAATGGGATGGGCTTCAAGGTCCCTTCCAACCCAAACCATTCCAGGATTCTGTGACTCCATGAGCCTCTGTTAGAGCAGGAGGCAGGATCAGGTTTTTGCTGCTGTGAACCAGTGACCCTTGACACAACGCCTCTCTGTGCTGTGGCCACTCTCCATGCCTCACTGGCATTATCTGTGAGGACCATTTAGGCAGGGTTGCAAGATATGGAGGTAATTTAATTTTCTTTTTGACATGCTGGAATTCTTGCATAATAAAGCCCAGCTATTCAGGTTTACTTTGCTATGCAATCAACCACTAAAATTACCACATTCATTTGAAGCACAGAGTGCTACTCCAATCGTGAAAAAAATGTAAAGAAAACTTCTTCCAGTATGAATTCCCATCCACAAATTCAGATTGCTATTGTTGTTGGGGGGCTAATATTAAATTAAAATCTCCGGGTCTATTTTATATTTCAACAAGTACAATATTAATACATTAAAAAAAGTTATTGTAAGCCTCCCTCAAAAAATGAATGCAGTAAGTTACAGTTATTAGTGCCAAACTAAAAGATCCGGAATTATGATAGGCCTTCAATATAACAACTATATTTTTGCTTTAAAAAGCACTTTCCATTGCTTCCTGCTAAAGACATGAATTAATAAGGCACGGTTCCCAGGAAACCTGAAAGTACAGACACCAGGCCTATTTCCATGGATGCCAATGGCTCCATGGATGATAAATGGAAGTTTCTGGCATTTGACAGACACCTCTAAAGCCAGAACGAATGGCCAAAAAACCCTGCCATGACGTAAATCAAACAAAAGGTCACTGGACTCACACAATGTAAAGCTGAGCAGGATTTGGCCTGAAGTGTTTGTGCTATAAGCAACTAGAAATGCTTTCCCAATGCTGTTCTAAGGCAGAGCTGCAGGGGCTGTTAGTGAATCCAGAACTGGCTCTGGAGTCAGAGCTAAAATTATCTCTTGAGCAGCTCCAAGCCCAGGTCATTCCAGGTTATTGGGAGCACAGGGCCAGAAATAGCCCGGGAGGGGAGGCCAGGTGCCCACGGGAGCCTGGAGTGGGACAGGGTCACCTTGGGAGAGGTTCCCTTTGTGTGCAAGGAGTAGCTGAGCAAAGAGCCACGTCCCCCTCTGCTCATGCAGAACCCAGAGTGCCCAGAGCCAGGTGCTGCCTGCTAAACTGCTCCTGCTGACCTGGCCTGCCTCGCTCTGGAAGGAAAACCACCTTTTTTCAAGGTTAACAGACACTAACAGACATTTCCTAATTAGATGGCTAAATATAATGAGGAATATGTGCAGCTTTCTGTCTTTTTTCCCTTTTTCTCTGCTGTTTTTGAGTGACAGCAATATTCTGCCTGTGGAAGACATACAATAAAAGCAAAATTACAGCCGTCTGTTTTTATCCGATTCCTGCTTTATCACTTGGAGTTTAATATATTTTACTCTGGAATGCTGTCTAATATGCTAGTTGTATCCTGAATATGAAGTAACATTTCTGAATGATCGGATATTGCCTCCCTCTGTGATCTAGCTTCAATTAAGGGATGCTCTCAGGAAATGACACTTTGGGATCAGCAAATGCCAATCTTCTACCTGGGCAATTTTCAGAAAGAAATCCTTCATCCCTACAAGGCCACATTGACTTTTACAATTAAATTACATTTAATAGAAATATTTCAGCTACCTAATTTCTCAGTTCTAGGGATTTGGTACATGAAAACATTTACTGGTTAATAATGTCTAAATGTAATACCTGAAAGAAAATTATTAAAAAAAATAAATAAAAAGGAATCCAGCTAGAAATTAAAATGGAACATGGAGCTTTCTTTTCTGATAAGAGCTTGTGACCTCCCTTTCCTGGAATAAAAGCCAGTCAGGGCTTCTGCAAACTCCAAATGCAGAAACTATTTCAATCCAAAGCTAACTTAGATTAATTAAAAGAAATCCGCTTTAAAGAGAGTAAGGCACTGGCCGTAATACAACAGGGATTTCCCCAGAATCTGTCTTTAACTTTCAGAAAGCACTAAACAAACACAAAAATAGGATGTTTGAAGGCAGAGGTGGAAAAATGCCCCTTTTCTTACTCTGGGAGCAGTCCATCCCTATCCAGCCCGGGAAGCACTGGCAGGATCCGTCGATGGGGTTGCAGGTCCCGTTCTCGGTGCACTGACACACCTCGGCACAGTCCTTCCCGAATTTCCCACTGGGACACACTGAAAACACAAGGCACTTTACTGCAGCCTCTTCAAAAGGAATGTGAGGAAACCACAGGACTCAACATTTAGCAATTAGAGATAAAATTAATTACAACAGTTTTTCTTTGATGAAGCACAATTCCTCTGGAAAGCAGGAAAAGTATTCGAGCCCATTTTGCTTGCATCCCAGGAGTAAAAACAATAGGAAAAAGTCATATCAAAATCCATTTTCTGCTGGAAAATGAAGTTAGTATAGTCAGAAGATTGCAATTATTGAAGGGAAGTATGGAAGGATTACAAGAGGAGAGACAAAACAGAGAAGAGGGGTCATGAGGAGAAGAAGAGAACAAGAAAAACTTAGGGGAATTCAGTGAGTAGCAGCCACAAGTGAGTGGCTGGGACTGATTTGGTTTCCAAGGATTTTATCTATATTTATATTTATGTATGTTATATATCTGTTTGACTGAGAGCTATTTAACAAATTTGCTGCATCCCAGCAACATCAGCACCTCTCCCTGTGTATCCACCTAAGTGAAGCTGGAAGAAAAGAAACTCTCAATTTGTTTCCAGAGTCATCTTCTCACATCCTAAGCACAGTGACAGGAAACTAATAGACATGTAGATCTTCAACCTCCCACCAAATTATTGGAAATCTTTAACGTTAAAGTTGATGGAAAGCTCTGCTCAGTAACGAATGAAATGTTTCATTTCTGGGCTCTTATTGGCTGTGTTCCCTGACAAAAACAGATGTATTTTCAAAACAAGATAAAACATACAGTCCATCTTTGCAAAGAGTGTAACAAATGGAACTGGACTTGGATCCTGGTAAATAATAGCAGTGTCAAAAAAGTGATTAAGGCACTTCCCTGAATTATGCAGCTGTTTCACCACTTCAGCCTCTCTCACTTTCTCAAAAGTAGTCTCTGCAGGTGACCTCAATCTATCCTGACTGTGAATCAGCCACAGATTGAAATCCTGAGCTGTGATTCATTGGCTTTTATATAATATGCCATCCTCTCCTCTTACAACAGCAGAGTATTGTTTTCAGCTTGTGTTTCTATAGACTATGGACTTATCTGTAGGAGTGGATAAAGTTGGGTTTGGCTTTCACACTGTGTGCTAAACAGAACTGTTCCTAAATGAGAAGAGATAAAACTAAACACAATACACAGCCAGGATGGAAAGAATACACAAAGAGAGAAGGAAAACAGAACCCTCCTATCACAGACAGCAAAAACTGAACTGATCTGTCAGCCCAGGCTCCTGGACAGGCCACACCATTATTCCCTTCCAGCTCTGCATGAAGCAGCTCCAGGCACTGTTTTATGGCACCTTTGAGATGGAGACAGGCAACACCACCTCGATGAAGGCTGGGGTCTGTCTGTACAAAAATGGAATTCTCTAAGGACTTCCTTTGAAGAGGAGCTGATTTGTTCTGCACCATGGAATACTGATGGATCAGGGCAAGCTCTGTGATCCAAACAGAGCTGCTGGCAAAGGGTCACACTTTGGTGCACACAGGCAGAGCTGGCAGAGGGGTTCTCTCCACAGGAGCTCCCCTTTTCTCTGGGAAATGGGATGATGCCCTCTGGGATGTCAGCACTGAGGGATGACAGGGTTCTTTGCCCTAATTTAAACAACCTGGCTGTGGACTGACAGAGAGACTCTTGTGAAGATGTGAGATCCCATTTTTTGAGACTTTTTAAATATCTCAATCATTTTTAGAGAGCTGTAAAACAAGGCTTAATGCTGCTTTTTTTCAGCAGCAGCCTGACTGTACAACACAGATTGGGATGTTAATTAGCTGGGAAAGCTCTGAAGTGGGACTCCCAAAGTCCCTGTGGGATGTCAGGTGTGTTCTAGCTGTGATAACAAGTTATTATCAACCCATCTCACTCTGGGATTGTGAAAGATATTCATAAAACAGCTGTTTAGTTGTTTGTAGCTCGGAATCCTTGGCACAACTGAGTCAACCTGTGCAGTTTTGGGGGTTACACAGCTCCTCACATGTACATACTGCTGGTGGAAGAATGTTGCTGCTGCCAATGGCACAAGGAAATGAAAATTCCAAAGTGAAATCTTCATTTCACATTTTTCTAATGGAAAATTAATTAGCATTTTTCTTTCTACAAAATAAAGTTACATGTTAACTCATTATGACAAACTGCAACACAAATTGATTTTAATTAGGACATGAATATTTTAAGATTAATTTGCTAGATAGATCAACATTTCAAAGTAAAACCAGAAGTGCTGAACATCTGAGCAAAAATAAAATAGTTTTCTTAAGAGGATAATTAGACCTGCTTACGCTTTGAAATCTGGCTAACGTTTCACATAAAATGGACAAATTCACTGGAATACGTCCATTTTAATAAATTAATTGGTGTAATGTTTAGTTGGCTATACAGCACAGGAAAAAAACCCCACCATGGTTATACTTAATCTCTGTTTAATGATTTTGGGTAACTGCTGCCTGCAATCCCATCTTATTGAAAAGCAGGTCACTGAAAGTGTCATTCAGTTTTGGCAGGGATGGTGACTCCACAGGGGCAGTGGCCACTACAAATCACTTCTTTTTAATATCTCTGTAGAAAATACCCACTGCAGTATGCAGCACCTGAGAGTGTGCAGAAGGCTCAGGGATTTTATGGGTATTTTTAGGATGAAAATGACACCTGGAGTTAAATGTGGAACTTTGAAAGGTACAGAAAGGTGATGGGTGTTTGGGGGAGCTGAAGCTCCTCTTCACTTGTGAAAATGAACTCACTCCTCTGCCTCACTGCAAACGTTCCTGTCTCCTGCCCTTGTGTCCATGGTTGCAGCCATTCCCAGCCAGATCCTGCACAGTGTCAATGAGGTTTTGTGCACAACTGGGTGATTGGGATTGTTCACCTGAGCTGGCCTTTACCTTAACCAGTACCTCCCTGTCCTGCTGCAAAGATCACAAGAAGGTGCTATCAACATTCAGGTGAGGACAGGCTGAGCAGCAAGAAAAATGAAGCCATTGGCTGCTGATGTATTTACAGCAGGTGTCTCATTCCACAGCCATTTCAATCCAGCGTGGCAGAGCTGGTTTATTTATGAAACCAGGAGCACATCGTATTTCCGAGAGGGTGACTGAGCACCTGTTTGCATTTTCCCTCTGAAGGAAAGATTTTCTTGGGACCTAAACTGCTGAAACACGCGAAAAAGGCAGGAAGCATGGGATGGGAGTCGCTGCAGAGCCGCGGATGCTCAGGAGGGAGGTACCTTGGTTGCAGAGGGGGCCGGAGAAGCCGGGCAGGCAGTCGCAGTGGCCGGACACGTGGTGACAGGGACCATTGCTGTGCACGCACTGGGGACACGGCTGGCTGCAGTGGTGGCCGTAAAACCCGGGCGGGCAAACTGAAAACAGAACAAACCAAGGCGTCAGAAGGTTTCCAAGGTTTTCTCATCACTCAGAGTTCGAGAATTCTCTGTCTGTCTTAATCCCAAACCAATAGTTCTTCATTTATCAAGCACAATTTTGTGGACAGCTGAAATGATGAAGCCTGTTGGATTGTTCCATGTCTAATAAAGTGCAGGATCTGGGTAAAACTGCTCCTGTGTTCAAACATTCCCACTTTCCTTCCTCATGGAAGTCCTTGGCTGTTTAATACCACAGCAGAGTTCTCAGCAGCCTCTCTCTCTCAGGACACTCATTTGAGTCTCTCTAACCTGAACACTTTGACAAAACAGGAGTTTAAGCTGTTTGACACCTCACAGCAGATATAGTTAATAACACACATTCCAAAGATTTTAGGATAGATAGGAAAAGACACACTGGCATACATGTACAAACAACAGAAACTCATAAAGAAATGGAAACTGAGTCAAGAAATCAGAGAAGGTGTATTAGGAAACAAATGCTACTGTGCCAAAAGCTGATTTCCAAACCTATCTGGTGCAATGCCTATGCTCAGCTGGGGCAGTCATTTTATACATTTCATGGGAGGAGCAACAGCCATCAGGTGATGAACAGAATCCAATAATGGCAATTATGTAACACCATACAAAATCACCTGATTTGAATCAGTAATCACATCAGATAGCTGAATAAACTTGTAATGAATTGTGTGTGTATTTTGCCTAAAACCTGGATTGAAATTATTATGGAATTTGTACATCAGTTATAGAATCAGGATTATGGCTCAGTATCTCTCCTAAAAGCAGATTTTTGCTTCTAAAAACACGTAGAGTGAAAAAGCATCCACTGTCCAAACATTCACTGCAATAGATAACACAAAGAAATGTTAAATTGCAGTAAGTGACAGTAAAAATAACTTTATATGTTTTTATTTTTACTCCTGTTATTCTCTGTTCTATACTTCTGGCTCAGTGGTTACTAAATCATGTCTGTTCTATTTTTCCAGCAAATGAGAATTTTCTCATGGACTGTATGTTCTCAGAGGGTGTCAGGCTCTTACCCCACTGCACATTTCCAGCTGGAGCTTAGCTGACAGGTTGGTTGATGATGCAGTAGCTATAAAACAACCTGGATCATTCCTGGAGACATTTCTGCAGGCTTAAGAGCACTAAACCATCCCAGTGTCTCATGTAATCCTGATTACACAGACAGAACAAGTTGGCTGAGTATCATCTTCAGTATCATTCTCAGCTCTGCCTTGTAATAAAACAGCCTAAATCCTGTTTCTAAATGAATTTCTAAGAGAAAAATGTGGATGATTTTGAGAACAAGCTTAGCAAGGTCTCCTGTTCACCAGGTATTCTTCAGTCTGAATCCCAGAAAATAGCTGGAAGCAATCTGGATTCCCAGGCCAAATACTCACAGAGGCAATAGCAGAAGCATGCACAGGATCCCTCCACTGTCACCCCAGTGGGGAGGAAAATTTCTCCTCATTAGATCCTTAGCAAACATCCTCAGGGAACAGCCTGATTCCTGGGCTTGCAAACTGGGCACAAGGTTTGCTCTTGTAGCCTGCATGCCAACAGCTGATAGAACTAAGCTGGGGTTTTTTCATCTCAGAAAGGTCAGAAACTATTAACTTCTGGAAGTTTTGCACTCTTAAGGTTTCAAATTTGTAAAACATTTTCTTCCTCATCTCCTTGAAGCTCTGAGCTCCACATTTTAGCCTTGGACAGAGGTTTTACAGCTACACAGATATGCTGAAGCACCTGGAAATTGGGGTTTATAATGGAAATGCTTATAGGCCATTAACTGCAGCAGTGCTAGAGGTCATCGTTATAATGGCTTTAAATAAAAACTGTCAGCTACAAATTATTTTTAGAGATGAGTGTGTTCTAGTGTCAAGTGCAACTGGTGAAATCAAAGGGGATATATGAACTGGGCATGCAGAATGTCTTACAGCAAGAAGAAGAAGAAATGCTGAGAAGAAAGACAAATCCACTTGTTTACACGGGAAGATGGTTGGTATGGTTTGGATCAGTGAATTAGGGTCCCTGTGGGGCAAATGCAGCTTCCCAGATAAAGCAAATGAGCGGATTTTTATCTGCTTGGTACATTTTAATATGTAGCAGCAGAGCATCAAACAGGAGCTATTTTGGGCTGCTGTGTTTCTTTTTCTGGCATACAAGAAAACATTGCCTTGTTATTTTGATGCCAATGCTCATCCACTTGTCATTATATGATGGGTGGTGGCTGACTGTTTAACAGGTCTGACTTCACTGCAAATCTGTGTCCTGCCAGCTTTGCTTTGAAAAGGTGCTGCTCCTCCTTCCAGGTCACCTGTGACCTCCAGGTGTGATCAGAAGAAGAAACACAAGGCACAGCTCAGTGCAGGAGAGTTCTTGATGAAGGAGCATTTTCCAGGCTCTTTTGCCCTTAGGAAGTCATGAGCTAAAGCAGCTCAGAAACTGTGGATTTGTCTGTCTGGTGCCATAAAGCAGCATTTCCACCTGCCTTGCTCCTGCCAGCTATGGGAAATCTTACTTCTCTGGCACAAGGGCCCTCTGTATCCCGGTGCACAGTCACAGGTTCCATCCTCAGGGGAGCAGGATCCCCCGTTCTCACAGCTGCAGGAGATGGAGCAGTTGGGTCCCCAGCGGCCCTGGGTGCAGATGTTGTCACAGTGGATGCCTAAGGACACAAAGCCACATGTTAGGCTTCCCACAACTCTTACTCTGCTCATTGATCAAAGAAATTCTTGGTTGGACTGATGCCTCACAGTCCCTCAGAGCCAGCAAGGGAGTCTGGGAAGGAAACAGCTCCTCTTTTATCTGCTTAATAAAGTGAAAATTAAGAAAATGCCAGAGAGGTGAATTCTGTAGGTGTTGCTGGGCGCCTGTTCAGTCCTCAGCACCATTAAAGAAACTCTGCATGTCATCCAAGAGATGAAGGTCAGGAATTGCTTTAAAGTCACAAAATAGCTCAAATAACTGGTCTGGAAATAGGCAGTTGATTGAAGCCTGGTTACTTACCTGTTGTGAATTGGATGGCCATAAAAAGAAAAATCAGGATTTTGCAAAAACATGTTCAGTATTTGGATTCTTGAACACAAGTAAATTAAACCCTATTTTGTGTTCTGTTCCCTTCCTGGCTTAAACCCCTGTGCTCTGGTGTTTTGTGCACATACCCCACATCCACCCAGAACTCCCCAGTTCTGTGTGAATGAACTGAGTTCTGATCCAGCAAGCGGCCATATGTGAGCACAGACTGAGCATTTGCATGTTAAATGGGGACTGAGACCTGCCAATCCAGCTCCCAGTGCTTCCCAGGGTGCTTGTTTGATATTTATTTTTATGAAGAGCAAAGCTTGAAAACACTGAAAGGAACACACAGCCAGGAAACTTAACACAAGGCTTCTGGCATGGTTTCAACTGGCTTTGTTTAAACTGGTGACTTTTAAAAACAACCTGAGCCACGGCTTGTCACATACAAGTGTGACTGAAGGAGCTGATCCTGCACACTGTGTCTGAGGGGCTCTCACTCCACAGGGATAAGGCAATACCAATACCTGCTATTAGCAGGGCTATTTGCATGATCAAGGACTCCTTGGATGGGTTTGCAGAATCATGAACTAAGAGGGACACTGAGCAGTGCCAGCTGCAGGGAGTGGCACTGGCAGGAGCATCTGAAACCAGCAGAAATGGATCAGAGACTGGCTTGGAAATTTTTCCAAGAACATGACCCCAGTGGGAGCCTGGCCCTGAGATTGGGGGTTACCCACACACCCCACTGGGCTTCCATCCTCAATCTGAGATATTCTTTACTATCTCTGACCAGAGATGTTCTTTACCATTCCAACCTGAGATGTTCTTTATCACCCATGCACATGTCCCACTGCACAATGGGATCAAAGCAGCCCAGGGGTTGGATTAGTGCAGCTCTCTGCAGAAACACAATCCCAATCATTTCCTCCACCTCTGATAACTTCATCTGGATGCTGGAGGTAATGCACTGCATTTGGGGAGCTGTGATCTGCACGGTCACCAAACTCTGAGCATTATTAAATCAGCTGAAAGTCATTATAAATACACTTACAGTGCAGTTTCAAGTTGGTTTTATAAATCTCTGAAGTTAACACAGTAAAAAATACTGCAGAGCCAAACTTTCCCTTTTCTGAAGATTAATCATACAATTATAATGTCCCTTCCTAGAAAATCTTAACCAAGTCTGGCAAAAGCACAGTTTGAAATGTGATTTCTAGTAATACATGTTCTTAGCTTTATTTATAAAGAGGCATGGACCATTCTGTACAGCTTAATAAAAACCACATTAAAATACAGTAAAAACTTAATACAAGCTCAATTCCTTCATATCCAAGTAAATAAATCTGAAAAAAGGGCCTGTGAAGAGACAAGGAACATTTGTGTTAGTAAAATCAAGAAAAACTATTATTTTAAGAAACTATTTTAAAGTCTTCCCTGCTCCCTTTGAAATCAAATATATCCTTGGATTACTTAAACAAGTGCTTTGTATGTGCATTTATGTCTTTGATCCAGAGTGCACTGTAATTAAAAAGTTAGAAAAGAAATTGTAAATAAATAAATAAATAAATGTGTTTTGTGTTTATAAACACATATATATGAACATTTATAGGCTGGAGTCTCAGTGTGAGCTCCCTGAACTGAAATTCAAACACAAACACAGAAAAATGTGCATTTTTCCTCCCGACTGCAGCATTAAAACTACAATTCTGTCATTGTGGATGGGCTATTTATAAACAGGGACAATTAAACAGCATTATTTCTTGTCTCTTTTGACAAAGTTTGGGGAAGAATGACATTGACTCTTTTCTTGCGGAAGGTACCTGAATTTGAATGCCAGGGCTGTTCCTGCAGCAGCAAAGCCCTTCCTTTGGTAATGAGTAATGAGGGATGTCTTCCCTCTGCTAACGAAGGCAATGAGTCATTGTGGAGCTGATTGTGTAGCAAAAGGGAAAGGGGGAAAAGGAAACTTTCCAGAAGCCACTGGCACCCATTCCAGCCCTTATTTATTTGTACTTTTCCAGAAGACAACCGAGATGGTGCCACAATCAGGTTTTATTACTTTTTATTACTCCAAGTTAATTCTCATGGAAGACTTAATTTTTGAAGGCTCCTACACGCATTGAATTGCAAATATAAATGAGAAGTTAAAATTGCATCTGGACATGCAAGTCTTATGGAATTGTGCTGGAAAAAGCACCTTAATTTTACAATTCCCTAGCCTGACAGCGTGTGAAGGGGGAGCCCATCCCTCCCAGCTACTTTACAGTCAGAGTCAGTGAAGCAGCAAGATTCTGTAATGTAAAACTTTAATATTTATTTAGGAACTTGCTGATGAACATTTCTGATAAGCAATTAGTTTTCAATTTCCAGAACTACAAAAAGTGCTGAAGTTGACACAGCTCTGTACTACCTCGTGTTACAACCACAGATCCCTAATTTATGAACAAAGTCCTGGTTTCACATGCATGGTGTAGAAATTAGAAAGACAACTATCAGAAATCCTTGAAGCTGCAGGAAGCAGTTCTATACATAAACTCTATTGCCTGGATACCAGGGAATTATCTGCCAGCCCGAGGCTGTGGTTCACAATTGCAGACATTGGTATAAAATTACACTTCCAAGACCTTTTTAGACAATGTTCTGGGGGTGAATTGTAAATGAAATCACATAACTTATAAAATTGTAGTTATCCACTGGACATGGGCAAAAGATCTGCACTTTTGCAGTAAGGCAGAGCCCACTGTGGCTTTAATTCAGTCTGTGAAACAGCAGCCACAAACTCTCCATGGCCCAGCAGGGATTTGGGGTATTGGATTTCTGCAAGCACTGGCTGCTTTCCAGTGGGATTCCCTTTGGACTGCTCTGTACGTGGCATTTAGCTGACAGTCCCAGGAGTGGCTTCACTCCCTTTTCCCCACACCAACCTCCTCTGAACACATGGAGAGAAGGAAAACCAGCCCCAAGGGCCTGAATTACTGTGGAAAACACAAACTGGGCTGAACTCAGCCCACCAGAACAGTCACAACTGCACTGTTCCAAGGGACAACCACACAGGACAGCTGCTCCAAACCCCTGCCCCTCCAGCACAATTTCCTACCAAGTGTCCAAGCAGCTGCTGGCTGGGACATGGGGAATATCTGGGGTAACTCAGCCCAGACTTCCCAAAGGTGAAGCCTTTGGTTGGGCAGGGATCTTCCAACATGGAGCTGCAGACAATCCTGATAAAGGAAAGCAGCAGGGAGAGAGGTAGAGGAGGAAGAGAATCCCAGAATGGTTTGGGCCAGAAGAGACCATAAAGCTCATCTTGTCCCACCTCCTGCCATGGGCAGGGACACCTTCCACTACCCCAGGCCCTGTCCAACCTGGCCTTGGACACTTCCAGGGATCCAGGGGCAGCCACAGCTGCTCTGGGCTGTCTGTGCCAGGGCCTCACCATCCTCACAGGGAAGAATTCCTTCCCAATATCCCATCTAACCCTGCCCTCTGGCAGTAGGAATCTGTTGATAGAAACCTGTGTCTGTCCTTACATGGAGCAGTTTCAAGTTTGACCAGATGAAGTCAGTCCTTTTATTCAAATTTACAAATCAACCGTGATAGATTAATCCAACATCCACACAAGCATCAGGAAAAGGAGCAAGACAAAGAAGAGGAAAAAACCCCTCAAGCCATACAACTGGAATGAAAGGCATCTATTGAAGAGCTCCTTCACAGGCTGCTTCCCTTAATAATCTTCAGTGGCTTCAAGAAAGTTTGTCAAAGTAATGCAGATTTAGTGCTGCCCATAACTACATCATGCTGAAGGACTTTGGAGGGTAAAATTCCTGAAAGCCAGTCACAAGCAGAACTCCCTTTTTTCCTTCTCCAGCTTCTGCAATTGCACTCCTGCTTGGGGATTACGTCTCTGGCTCTTAATAAAGCTGCCATTGTTTCTCTGCAGTGTCTCTGGATAGTTGGAAACTAATACTCCAAACACAATAAAAGAGCAAAAATGATGGAATAAATGAGAACCAGTGGCCTGGTTTTGACCACTGCTATCCCCCTGACAGTAGCCTCCACAGCAGTGCCTGCACACTGCCCAGCATCTAATTATTTTTCAGGGACGTAGGAATTTGATAAATTATAGGATGTAGCTCCCTGCCCCCCACATACTTTAATTTTACATCTACCAGTGTATAACTGTAATTATTTCTCTGAATAAGATCTTCAGCTTTTTTTCCCCCTCAATAGTCCCAATCTAAAGACAGATGCAACATCAATTAGGAATGACAGGAACGATTTCAGCAGACATTTGAATCCAACACAAACATTGTGCTCTCCTCCACCTGTCTTTCAACATGACATGAAGTCATAATAATCTCTTATTTCTGGCATTTGAATAGCTTTGGAAAGTGCTGCTTTTTATGCAAAAATAGGCACTGGATTTATGCAGGCAATGCTGAGGAGGCCTGAGGTTTGGTGAGTCACGCTTGGCTTTGATGTGGAATGCTGGTGGCTCGTGTCTGTGGCAGGATGGATCCCCAGTGGTGGCTGGTACCTGCTGACAGGGTACCCAACCCAGCACACACCCTCCAGCTGGTGCTGCTGGGCTGGCTGGGTGTGGGCAGGGGCCAGCAGGGAGTTGCAGGTACTGGAACAGGTCTGGGAACG